GTCATCCACAAAACACACTCTGAAGGTGAGATCTGGCAATATTGCATGAAACGGAGTTATTTTCAAGGTTTGACCAAAACCTTTTATTTCTCAACATGATCTTAGTTTAAAACTCGATATGTATTCGTTCAAGGAATAGTCTCCGAGTTTCCATCAAGGATTGTTTAAGCGTTTTGCGTTTTTGTCTTGGTTTTCTATTTGTAAAGTAAATAGTGCCATAAAACCATTGACATGAGTAAAATAGACAAAAGAATCAGGCAGGTGTTCTGCCACATGAACGTTTTACTGTCTAACAGTTGACACAACAGATTTTTTACAGCATTAAGTAGAATATCTGAGCGCGCTGTCTGACTTTTTAACACACGCACACCACAGACTGTGAGATGAAAGGAAATATTTCACCCGGAGTGGAGCAGTAATGTGCACAAATTTCACAGCAGTCCATACAGTAGCTGTCGAAATATTTCTGTGTGATGGACGGACAACCACTGCCAGGACAGTCATCACCATAAATACAGTTCAAAGCTATTTATAGGCTCATTGTGGAGTCATTGTAAAGGTTTCTATCACTCTGTGTTGTGGGAGCTGGTGTCTGGGCTCTCCTGCATGGACAGTTTCCACACAAGAGTCATACACGAGATACGACATGGCATGAGATCGCACGCAATTCAGAGTTTAACCAAAATGAATATTCAGTTTAACCATCATTTCTCAACATTACCTGATCTTAGTGTAAAACTCTGGTAAGGTCAGACGCCGGGGTTTCTCCTCCAGGCTGCCGTAGATTTAAAATAGGACAAGATGTCTTTTCTGAAGGGAAATAATTCAAATGTAGTAAAGGCCGGGGAAACGTCGCCCGACTGAAAGATCTTTTACAGTTTATTATAGCTGAATGCAGCTGCCGCCTTACTTGAACGGCCCCTAATCAAGGGCTGTTTCCACTGACTTTTCACATCCCTGACCTTTACTCTGATCCATCTTAGCCGCCACACCTGTCGGCAAATTACAGACAGCTCACAGGCTGTCACCACCTCGCTACGAGGTATTTCATAAGCTTCTGCGGGCCTCCTTGGACTCTCCTCTGCCCAGAACATGACAGATCTTACTTTGGCTGTTTAACTGTGGGATCACAGCTGCCGCGTGCACTACAAAGGCAGAAACATGCAGCCACGGAGAAAGGAAAGTCCACCCGCTTTCAATTCTGGAACTTCACTTATTGAAACGTAATGAAAATGACCCGGTGTCTGCAGGTTGACATGATCCAAATTTAACTTTAAAGCGTACAAAAACACACAATAGTTTCCACCACATCATTATTAATTAAACAAACAAACAAAGTGCTAAAGCAGAAAACTGTGTGAGAAACTAAACCCACCATCGTTGCTTCCATAAGATTTCAAAAGGAAAGTAGCAGCCAGGTGCTGCTGATCAGATGCACTTTCACTGATCTTCAGTAACCTTCAGCTTGCAGCTTTAGAGCATACAGGTGTGTTGACACAATGCCAAGAAGGAAAGGCATCAGCAATGACCTTAGAGAAGCAGCTTTTGCTGCTCGTCAATGTAGGAAGAGATAAAGCCATTCTCAGTCTCCTGGAGTTCAATATTCAATCGTGAGAACTGATTAAGACAAATATTTCAGGAGTGGATATCCCAGCAACTTTACACCACCGTCAGACGCTTCAAATCTCAAGAGAAATTACAAACAAACAAAGATCTCCTTCTCAGGCTCTTCAAGTCTCAGTTAGCAGGTTCAAGGTTGAAGCTGAGTCCAATCAGAGACACACTGAAGACGTATGGCTCGTTTGGAAGAGCTGCGGCAGGGAACATGACTGCATGAACATGGTTTACTAAGTTTTGTCTCAACAACCACAAAACTTTAGAAATGTGACAACAAACATATTTATTACCCATAATGCACAGCACTATGTTCAGTCAAAATCAAGCACAGCATTATCAGAATCAACATCATTCCAAGCATGGTGGTGAAGGGCTGATGGTTTGGGCTTTTGTACTGGACCTATCACCTCGCTGTCGTTGGGTCGACCAAGAACTCCTCTGTATATCGGTCTTTGACTCAGATGAGTCCGTCTGTCTGACAATTGAAGTTGGGCCAAACCGGGTCATGATGCAGCGGGACAATGACCCCCAACACAGCATGCCTCCATCAGAACGGCTGCAACAGAACGGAGGTGTTGCTATAGTCCAGAGTCTAGACCAGGGGTCTGCAACGATCAAAACAGACATTTTTGCCACTTTTCTTACTAATTACCATGTCCGAAGCTGCAAAACCTGCTACAACTGTGTCCTGTCAACTGGTGGTCCATGGGCCACCAGTTTGTTGGAGATGGTTTTTCTGACCAGTGGGTGTGTTATTCCATCCATCCATTATCTTTTATCCGCTTCTTCCATTTTGAGTCCCGGGGGTCACTGGTGCCCATGTCCAGCAATCACTGTGTGAGGAGCGGGATACACCCTGGACAGGTCTCCAGTCCATCACGGGGACACATAGAGACAAACGAGACAAACAACCATTCACACTCTCACTCACATCTAGGGACAATTTATAGTTACCAATCAGACTAATATGCATGTTTTTTTTTTTGGTCTGTGGGAGGAAACTGGAGCACCCGGAGAAAACCCACGCATGCACGGAGAGAACATGCAAACTCCACCCAGAAAGGCCCCTGGACCAGGATTTGAACCAGCACCCTTCTTGCTGAGAGGCAGCAGCTCTACCAGTTGTGCCACCGTGCTGCCAGGGGTGTTATTATAAAATTAAATATGTCTTACTATTATTGACATTTATTGACATTTTTACATTTTAATACAAAATAAATGACCAGAATGATTCATGTAAAAAAAGAAAAATATATATATTATTAATAATTTTATAAAAATTCAAACTGAACTCTGCAGGTTGATGCGAGTTCTCTTATTTGTTGAAGAATTAAGTTTCCTACTTAAAGCATAAAGTTAAAGATGGTATAAAATTAGGCCATGCAGTTTGTTGGATATCCAGTTACATTTTAAAGAAAAATAAATACTTGTGTTTACTTTGTCTTTGGTTTTTGTGTTTTATTCTAAGTTTCATCATATTCCTTCTCAGCAGCTTGTCTTAAAGATATTCCAAAACATTCTGGTGGTTTTCAGAGAAAGATCTCGCTGTGAGACTGGAAGTTGACTTAAAGTGTCTAACAAACTACTAGCATGATGTAGTCCACATGTTTTACACCCTGTATGTGTACTATTCTTCACATATTTGAAAATGACATGAAACCTGCTGAAACTAGCCATTGTCAATAATTTAAATAAAATTCAGTTTTATTTTAGTTTTGATCAAAGTCTGAAGGAGCCGCTGCAGAGGGACTAAAGAGCCACATGTGGCCCCAGAGCCACAGTTTGCAGACCCCTGCACCTATGTGGTGGGGCCAAAGGAGAGCGGAGTGTCTGCAAACCTCAATGAACCGAATCAGTTGTAAAAAGGCCAACATTTCTCCACAAACATGAGTGACTGATCTCTGAACTCCAGGTTATCATATCTGAACTAAACCATCTTCTGCAGGTACATGACGATCTGCTGCTTGTGCTTCTATAGATAATGAAGTTGTTCAGTCACTTCAGCCATGACTGCACAGCTGGAGAGAAAAGCTCTGCAGAGAGTGGTGAAGGCTGCACAGAAGTCCGTTGGAGTCAGCCTCCCCACCATCACAGACATCTACACCTCCAGATGCAGGAAGAGGGCCACCTGCATCATGAAGGACCCCACTCACCCAGCACACTTTTTGCCTCGCTCCCCTCAGGAAGGCGGTTGAGGAGCATTAAGTGTAGAACCACTAGACTGAGGAACAGCTTCTACCCTGAGGCTGTTAACCCTAACCAGGATAATCTCTGTAATGCCACTTTGTCATGCTGTAGATTTGCCTTTAAGCTGCGGCCTTCATACCCATCTGCTCACAACTCATGCTGCCGTTTAATACACCATATTATTTTACATTATTGGTGTAGATCTTAGATCCTTGTATACAGTTTATTTTAATAAATTATATTTTTGCAATTTTGGAAGCAAACAGTACACAATTTCATTCCACCTCATGTACGCGATACGAATGACAAAGAACCTTAATAAACTCGGCACAAAGAGTCAAGACTCACGAGGATCGTTTGGATAACTTTTATTAAAAAGAAGACATACGCCGATCACCAAGGCTAGCCCGTCTTTCCTCCCACGTTCATTATCTCTTCCAAAGATTTACAGATGGCAGTGATTTGTGTTGGTCTGATCCGACCCGCTCATCAGCTCTGTCCTCAGCCTTTACATGGGAAACCTCTGACCTGCCCAAACCCAACTTTAGACTATAAATATATATATATATATTTATAAAAGTAAGTGTAAAAGGATTTTGCAGTTTCCTCCAAGAAAAAAAAAGAAAGCATTTACAATTGGATAACTCAGGGCAGTCGCCTTTTGGCTTGTTCGCTGAAAACTTACTAGCCAAGTTTCAACAAAACACAATAAATTGGGTGAAAATAATTAGTGGCCGAACAGATTGAGGGAAAGTGTGGATGACAACAGCACTAAACAGTAAAGCACAGTACAGACAGAAGAGGGCAAACCAACCATTGCCTTATCAGTATACACAAATATATAAATATATACAAACACATAGCTGACAACTTCAGAAAAATAACGTCTCTAGATTAAGTTCAGGTTTTTTTTTTCTTTCCCCATTGAGTGTGTTTGCTACAAAAATGAGCGTATGCTGAAGTTTCTACTAAACATTTTCAGCAGACTCGGATGTTTTTAAGCTGCTCTGTTTGAAGAGGCAGGAGTAGAGCGCCTCCTGGTGACTACACCCAAACCCTCAGAGGACCCATGTTCACATCTTGAATTAACAGAGCAGCAAGATGTTGGTTTTCTGCAGCTGTACACACCAAAACAAGACAGATGTGCAGTTTTTTTTATACTGTGTATTGACTGGATGTGATTTGGGTTCACTAACAAGTTCTCATATACATTTTCAAATATGTGCAAAAATATATCAAATATTCAAAAAAAAAAAAAAAAAAAGCCCACATTCCACAGGAAAACAAAATCATACTGGTTTTAAATAGTTTACAAATGTCTGCACTTGTTTTAAAGGTGTGGTCCTGCAGCTGCTGCCTTGCTCAACTTTACAGGAGAGTCTTTTAACGTGGCGGGGCACTACAGAGAACAGGCTGACGGCTCTACGAGCCAAAAATGAGTTCAATTTAGTTTTAATGTTGTGATGTCTCGTCCCTGCAAGTGAACCTGGGCTGAGAGGACACCCCCCACTACAACTAGAAACCCTTCCAAGTTGATCTGGACTGAACTGAACTTGGACAGACTTACAGGCAGGGCAGAGGTAAACTCACAAAGGTCCATTTCAGCTTCCACCTGCGTGCGCTGAAGAGTTCACAGCTGTGAGGACTTTCACTCCACTGCAAAGCTCTCGTTGTTCTTGGCTGAACACCATGTGACAAACACTAAACGTATTACAAATATAAACCCGTTTTCTTCTGTTTTTCCTAAATGTGAGCATAAAATAATTAAACACAGAGTCCGTCTGAGGGTGGAGTCTCGCTGGCTTTGGGAGGAAGAGGAGAGGAGCTCGTTGATTGTGAGGAGTGGACAGGGTTGTTTGTTAAAGTAAAAACAGAGGAACAAAGAGCAGCAGCCTGGACTTCACGAGCGTTTCTGCCTCTTGGAATGTGGCTGCTGCTTGGACCGGTGCCCCTGCTGCCGAGTCCTCCGTGTGTCCTGCTCACCGTCGCTATCCTGCTCCCTGTAATCCTTCCGGGCGGAGGTGACAGTGGTCCTCTTACTTCTCCTCTTGTTGTCATCCTCATCTTCATCCTCCTCATCATCATCTTCCTCGCTTTCGCTCTCCTCGTTCTTCCGACGTCGACTGTTTCTGCTGCTCTTTCTGCTTAATTTGCCATTCTGCATCTTCTTCTTATTCTTCTTTGGCTCCTCCTCTTCTTCATCCTCCTCCTCCTCATCATCTTCCTCGCTTTCGCTCTCCTCGTTCTTCCGGCCCCGACTGTTTCTGCTGCTCTTTCTGCTCAATTTGCTATTCTGCATCTTCTTACTCTTCTTCTTTGGCTCCTCTTCTTTCTCCTCCTCTTCTTCATCGTTGTCGTCATCTTCCTCCTCCTCGGACGAAGGAGGTGCCGGGCAAACGCGCTTGCGAGGGCGTCGCCGAAGGTAGCTGAGGCCGGGCAGCAGCTTCTGGAGCAGCTCCACAAAGGTCTGCTCCGTTTTGACGGTGCAGGACAGCACGGTGCTGCCCTGCTGGTTGTACTCCTCTGAGTTGGAGAAAACCAGCTTCATGTCATCCACGAAGTCCTGGGCGTGGCGGTACGAGCCCTGGCTGAACTTGCCCATCATCGTTTGGAAATCCATGGGCTCGGAGATGATGTCCAGGTAGTCCTCTGCCTCATCCGGGGAAACCGGCTCCCTGAAAGGCAGCAGAGAACGCAACAAGTCCAACATTAGACCGACACTGAAACAATTACAAGTATTTATTTGCAATAGTGTGAAAGCTTATTAAGCATTCACACTATTGTGATCCTGTTTATATTTATTATTCCGTGTTCTTTAAACTGTTCCGTACATTTTTCAGCAGCTAATTTCAGCATGTTTTTAGCAAATGTACTTTGTGCTCATTTCTGCTTATTTAAACCAAATTCAGCAAATATGTTCTTTCTTCAGCTAATTTAGACTTGCTCTTCCATTTCAGCTACACTTCAGCATGTTTTTAGCCAATTTCAGCAATTTTTCAGCAAGTTCTTCAGCAATAAGCATTCACACTGCATTTTTGCAGGAAATGCAATTTCTCTAGTTATTAGAAGTGTGAAGTAGTCACAGAGAGATAAAACAAAAACTATGTACAAAATAGATGCACGTTTATCACAGGATCCTGCATCATAACTGAACACATCATCAGATGCACTCAGGATTTTCACTTTATTATCAGATACTAATTTCAGGCTCGGGAACATTTATTGACAAAATGCTTTAATTGTGTTCAAACTGGGCCCCGGTTGACTTGAAATCACTCTTAAGAAACGAGAGATTGTGTTTTTGCTCACCTGAAAGGCCAGCTGTAGCGGAATTTCATCAGTTTTTTGAGGACTTCTTCACATCTTTCCAACTCCAGCTTGTTTCTGCTCACTCCCGTCTGAGAACTCTGCCGCACCTGCAGAACCATGCCCGACAAGACGATCAAATATCTGTACAACCTCTACTGGGTTTCCTTTATATTTGTTAGCACAATATCTTACCAGTTCATCAATGTCTGCGAGACTGTTTGGGCATGCCCTCTGCTTGCTGCTCTGACTGCTGGAGGACGCCGGCTTCTTCGATTTACTTTTGGAGTTTTTCTGCCGAGATGACGACAGCTTATTCTTCTTTCTCGGCCTCACTGTAAACAAGAAATAAAGTCAGAAAAGATGTGAACATAAGCATTTGAACATGACAAATATGGTATGAAATCTGTTGCTTATTGATGCTATACACGTTGCTAAACCGGATTTGTCTATCTTAAAAGATAGACAAATCCGGTTCTGGTCCCGAGTGTCTCGAGGTAGAAATAAGAAAATTAAGCGGCTCATAAATGTATTAACATCCCCCTCTTTAGCTGCTGAGCTAAACTTCTTTATCGTTATTCCTGACGTGCAGGCCGGAGCTGACAGAGGGGGATCATCCTGCCACATACTTTAAGTGAAGCCAGAGTGAGACACCGAAAGCTTCAAAGTGAGCTTCACACCCGAGCTGTGCTCCGTGACAACACACAGACAATAGAGGCAGAACGAGGGATGAGCTTCCCCATCAGCATTCCTCTCATTCCTAAACATCAGCACCAAGTTAACCCACTGAATCCTACAGCAACCTGCTTTTTACACACTTTATAATATGAAATATGACGTCTGGAGGATAAAATGTTTTACTCACAGCTGTGCCCCATGGCTTTGTAGTCATTTTCTTCCTCGTCCTCTTCGTCTTCTTCAGAGCCTTCCTCTTCAGGCTCTTCCTCGCTCTCTTCTTCATCTGTGTCTTGGTTATAGTTTCTGCAATAAACAGGTTCAAAAGGTCACAGAAGCCAAATTGGTTTTAGTGACTCTGCTGTTTGTGTGCATGTTGTACTATGACCTCTTGACCTTTGCATAGACTGTTTATTCTACGAGAGAAACTAATTTAATAAAATTAACAAGAGTAACGCATACAGCACAATATACACCCACCGACAAATTATTATACAGCAATCGATGGCAGTGACCCAGACAAGCAAAGCCCTTGTATAACCTTTGACCTTGAAGCTGGGGTGATAAAAAGTGATAACACATATCAAATATTTTATCTGGAGCAGATCGGAAGTTATGGGCAGGACAAGCAAAGGGCTTGTTTCAACTTTGACCTTGATTTGTAACCTTGACCTTGGATCTGGGGCTATGAAACGTGTACACAACACGAGGCCTGTCGCGATAAACAATAAACCAATTAATCGCATGACGTGCACTCCGCCCATCTTTCGAACGACTGTACAAACATGTTCTCGCTGTATCTCGGTACAATGATAATAAAGTTTATTCTGATTCTGATAAATGAAAATCATCAACCTCATTTTCATTTATTGACTTTATCGTTTCTTTGTCGCTCTCTTTCTACTGAAGACACTGGATGACAAAAGGTTCAACTCCGGTGCTCTTCACTGACTCCTCCCTTTTTCTTTTCTCTTTAAAATCAGTTTTACTCGTCCAAAATTGCGTTTTTGGTTTGTTAAAAGCAGCTAAGCTGAGAAGCTAAGCTACGAGCTAAGCTAACAGGCCGACCTCAGAAAAAAACCCTTAGTCTTGGTGAAGCTCCAAAATTCACAGTTGAAACCCGTGCCGTCGTCTAAAAAGTTGTTTGTCTCTGCAAAAAGAAGCTGAGAACTTGTTTACTGATTTTTAAGAATCAAAGAGAGACAGCCCATGTCATGTCAAGGGGCCTCCCTCCCATTTTTCTTAAGGAGACGTGCTGCTCAACTATCCATCCTTCGGTTCAAACAGTCTTAGACTACCATCCAGTGGTCAAAAAAGGTACTACCCTCAAAATAAATTAGATATTTCTTCTTAAATTTGACAATAATTACTAATTATTGTCAAATTTCAAACAATATTATCATTTATCGCAATAATTTCGGAGACAATTAATCGCCCAGTAAAATTTGTTATCGTGACAGGCCTACACGACACTGCATGGTTATGTGTGTATGAAGTTTTATTCAGTTATCTTGAGCGAATCAGATGTTATGGGTGGGTCAAGAGAAAGTTAGTGGACGTACACAGACTTTAATACTTTCACCTCTTGACAGGTGAATAAAAAAATACAGACATTTCATGGAGTTGTTTCACTGACTACAATCGTTTTACAAAAGTATTTAGCTCAGCTGTAACAATATGCTTAGAAGTGTGAAGTTTCTCATCAAGTGTTCATATTGATAAGTAGTCGACCCTCGCTATATTGTGGTTCATTATTTGCTGCTTCACTGCACTGCGGGTTTTTTAAGCCCGTTTTTTATATTGTGTGTACTGTACATGCTGTGCAGTACTCTACAGTAGTCCCTCGCTACTTCGTGGCTCGACGTTCGTGAACTTGCTCTTTCACAGTTTTTTAAAGATTGTACACGACACACAACTTTAATATTACTCACGTGATTGGGACGGTACGGAATAAAAAGCTAACAAAAAAAAACTTTGGACAGGCGCCGCCATTTTGTAGTTTTCTTTCAATAAGCCTACACTGCAACGCCAGTCAAAAGAACTACACTACCCAGATGTCAACAGTGCTTCTGTTCGCTGCTTTCTGCTGAAATGGAGGGAAGGTTTTGCAACACAAAGTCAGAGTAACGATTTGTTAAGTTCACAGAACTGGCAGTAAAGTTGCAAATAATCCTGAAGCTCAATTATCCACGTGTACATGAACCTGGACGGGGCGGTGGGCTTCATGCTGCAGGGTAGGTCTGCAGAACCGGAACCAAGCTGTTGGTCTGCAGAGCTGGTGAGTAAAATTTTGCAGTACTGTATAGTACATATACGTATGTTGTTACAATGACATAGGTTTAAGAGTTTAGAACATTTCAAGAAAGTGGAAAGGGTTTATAAAACCTTAAAATATATAAATACTAAAATAAATATCCCTACTTCATGGTTTTTCACCATCGCGATGGTGTGTGGAACGTAACCCCGCGCGATTATCAAGGGACTACATTCATCTCATCACCAATGTGTTTGAGTGTATGAAGTGTTTATAAGAGTAAATGTTAATAAGAGTGTGGGAAGTATTTATAAAGCCTTAAAACTATATAAATAATAAATATAATGCCATTACTTCACGGTTTTACATGTACCGTGGGGTCTCTGGAACGTAAACCCTGCGATAGGTGAGGAATCATTGTGAACCTATTATTTTATTTTTGTACATTACTCACTTGTGACCCCCGCCATCAAACAGCAGCCCTAAAAGGCATTGTAACATGTCAGATGTACTACTACTTCACAGTACTTAAGGAATATGTTTCTCACTCTTCTTCATTACAGTATTGTCTGAAGCTCACACACAGCCGACCTCGGATGAAGGGAGGTTACCTTGAGCGAGAGCCTCTCCGGGCCACGGTGGGCTGGCAGGCCAGGCACAGCCACTCCCCATCAGGGATGCGGTACAGAGCCGGTCGCAGGCAGAACAAATGGAAGGCCTTGTTGCACTCATCACAGAGGATCAGCTTCTCGTCGTCGTCACCTTCATCAGAAAGAAATCTCTGAATTTCAAGGCTCAGTGAAAAGTTATTCTTGGTCTTCAGTCCATGAAAAGGTTAAAATCTACAGTTGCAGTTCCTGGTCTCTCCTCATCACTAGGTTCACCTGTTGGCTTTCGGGTCAGCTGACTCTGAACGTAGACCTGCCTGACATAACTAGCCTTTTCTGCTCTGAGCTTGTGGCTGCTACTGCCTCCCTGTCTGGATCTGGTCCTAGTCTCCATCAGCCTCAGCAAAGACGGTTTCTGCCTGAGCTCTGGATAAGGAGCAAAGAGTGGCACAGCAGGAGAAGCACTGACTCAAGGCTCCCACATACTCGGGCGTACTGTGCGCACTACATGAGCCGCGCGGACACCGCGCACATCGTCCGCAGACGGTTGAGACTTCATACTCGAGCGTACGTCCTGATGGGCTGCAGCCAGCTCTGCAGGCAAGGGGTTTACCTTTGGGACAAACTGAGGTCGCTGATTGATCATTTGCTTACAAGCCTACTGGATTGATTGACAGGTCGCAAAAACAAACAAACAAAAAAAAAAAAAACACACGACAGCTACCGGCGGCCCTGGGTAGAGGCAGCTGGCAGCCCAGGAGCAATGGTGTTCTGTGTTTATATGTTGTTAATAACAAGTTCTAATAAAAAATAAAGAAAAATAAACAACAGGGAGCGCTGGTCCTGCAGCCCACACATCAGACCGGCCCACCAGGAAATCTCCAGACCCTCCCACAGCCATGCTGGACCTGATTGTAATTCCATCGTGACAAATTCTTTCATTTCTCACAATTTCAGTCATGGCGACAACGGACGAGGAGGAAGAGATCGCTGCCTCTCGGCAAAAAACAAAAGAAAAGGCCATTAAACCAGATCAGGGATGAAGAGGGGGAATTTAATACATTGGTGTCACATACAAAACAGTCCGTCGCCGGGCAGTTTATAGTGTGACACAGAGCATGTGGTCGTAAAAATTTATCTTTGTGTGGACATGGCTTGCGGACGTCCACTTTGAGTCCGCGTCGAGTCTAATCCGGTACGCGCGGACCTCTGCAGAGTGAAGTACGCCCGAGTGTGTGGGAGCCTTCAGTGAGACATCAACCGTCTACGATTTGTGACAATCAAACTTTTGATCACATCCACACAAAATTAAAGGAACAATTTTTACCTTTTCTGCGACAAACTTTGCAGCGAGCATTCTCAGCAGACATGTCCCACTTAATGCAAGCGTCCAACATCCCCAGCAATACGTGCATGCGAGAAAACGTTTGAGCCTCCCTGATGGCCGCCTTCCACTTCTCCACTGCTGTGGCTACCTAATCAAACAAAGGTAAACAATGCACACGTTTTATGACAATTCATGCGGCTGACTTCCACTAACTAACACACATATCAGTTCAGTTCATTTCTACAGCACCAAGTCACAACAGAAGTCGTCTCAGGACACTGAACAGAAACACTCATATATAAAAACAATAATTTAACATTATTTATCTGAGGAGCAGACTGCTCTGAGTTTAACTCCATCACAGAGCTTAACTTCTTATTTTGACCAACATGACTCTGTTTGAAAACGGTGTCTCTGATCTTACTCTGGCCTCCTCTGCGAGTCTTTTTTCCTCATCCACCTCTTCAGTCTTGCTGCTTTCTTCTGCTGCCTGCTTCTTCTTCTTTTTCTGCTTCGGGGCCATGAAGCCCTGCAGGAACTTTTTGACTACGCAGGCCTGAAGAGTGATGATGCACTCGCCAAATTCTTTCAAGTTATCCATCTCTTTCAACTGCAAGCAAAACATTACAAATATAAAAACACAGCAACACGTTTCTGAACATTTAATATTACATCATTTCCTAACCACCATGTACAGATTAATTACTAATTATTACAGATTATTAGTTTTATGAATACAGTAGTCCCTCGTTTATCGCGGGGTATTCGTACCTGAAAGTGAAAAACCGCGAAGTACGAACAGTAGTACAAGTAGTAAGTAGTTAATTTTAGTATTTATTTATATAAGGCATTTTAAACCCTTCCCACACTTTTGCAATATTCTAAACCATGTTTCCAAACTCTAAACGCCCTAAAGGAGCACAGAATGTCATGATTTCAGCTCCCTGCCCATGGCTGCACTCTTGGCCACGCCCACTTCTCCGCTCTGCACAGAGATCAGATGCAGCAGGAAGCTTCTCCCACAGCTGTGGGCTGCACACAGGTGCTAAATCATTTAAAATAATGTGTTTTAAATAAAAATTTCATGCCGATCGTGTGGCTCATCCATCAATCAGCCCATTGTGTGCCATGTCCAATCTTATTTTGAAAAACCGCGATAGAGCGAGTCCACAAAAAACAAACCACGAAGTAGCGAGGGACTACTGTACTCAAAATTGCTCTCCAACAGTTGTCATGGCATTGGTCTGATAGGGATCATGTTTCTGTACATTATTCTTATTTAAGCACTTCATGCAGTTAGACTGACCTGATCTTCAATGTCTGTGTCATCATCCAAGTAGCCCAATCCTCCCTTCTGGAGTCTGGAGGCCACTTCCTGGATATCACTGCGCAAATATTTGATCAGCTCTTCGTAGCCATCACACGTCCTGAGACCCACTTTGCCCTTACGGGTCAAATTGATGGAGTGCTGGATGTCCTGATACCTGAAACAGAAAAGAATCCAGCTTCATTCAACACTACTGTTAGCTTAGAAATTGCTTGAAAATACAGAAAAAGCAAGTCTTGGTGTTTGTAACATTACTTTAACACAACTGTATACACTAACAAATACATCAAGCTGCATTGTTTTATGCGTTTAGTATTCAGTTATCTCAGACTTTGAAAGCACTTACCTGCTTTGGATCTTGGCCTTCAGCTCACTCTCTCTGACCCCCTGAGGATGAAGACTGTCCACCAGCTCTTCCAGTTCAGCTAGATTGTCCACGATGAACCTGGATTTAAAGCAGGAAAGTTGGAATGCAAACAGGATAAAATTAAAATAAGAATGGATCAAAAAGGTGGGGGAAAAAGTGAAATATAGGAGTGAAGTTCTTACCAAAGGTTCTGTCCTTGTTTGGGGATGGTAGTTTCAATACAGACGTCTGGTGCTGCCTCCTGCTGGGCTCCTTCACTTGCAGCACCGTCCACACTTCCATCATCCCTCTCAGTTTCTGTAACACAAACAATCCACCAAAAAGACAACAACATGTGTTTATCACTAAAACATCGTTCAGAAGACTCATTGAAAAGCATTTCAGTCAGAACATCTGAAATTCAGTATTTGGACAAGGAGCTAAAAAGTTATTTCTATATTTTTTTAAATACACTGTACCTTGTGAATCAAGGGCAGCAGCTGCTTCAGCGTCTTCCTCGTCCTCGTCCATCTCAGGCTCAGCTGGTTTCTCCTCAGGCGGAGGAGGAGTGAAGCTGTAGTCGATGCTTTCATGCACCCAGCCTTTCTCGATGTATAAACCAGGTACCACGTCTGAGAACAGCCAGTATCTTCACAAAAAACACCACATAACCAGTTAGTTGTTAACACACAACAAAACACGTTGCGTGTCCACTTTGGTCTTGGTCCCACTCGTGCCAGCTGTTAGCTTAGGCAGTGCAGTCGGTATTAAACTTTACTTTGCGTTTATTCCCGATTTGATTAACGGAAAAGCTGCTCAGGTCTGTGCTGTCAGAAACTGCAGATGTTTACTCTGTTTGCATCATTTAAATCATCTGTTTGTTGTAAACACGAGTGTTCAACACCAACCTGTTATGGTTTCTGTCTGTACCGAGCGGAGTCCGACGCATCACAAGTTTGGCTTTAGCTATTCCGTCCTGGAAGGCCTTCTCTGAAGCAGCTTTCTGTTTACGCATCCGCTCCTCCTCTGCCTCCTTCTCCATGCGCTCTGTAAAGGTAACAGTAACCGTTATTCATAGGGTTTGCTAAGACACAGCATCTTAAGTGAAACACCTGAGGTTGAACCATTACTTAAAGACCGAACGTGGACAAACACTGATGCCAACCTTTGTTTTGTCTGTCCTGCTCCTCCCTCTCCTTCTTGGCCTGCATAGACATCAGCCTCCGGCTCTTCACTGAGCTGATCATGTCCTCAGGCTCTGCCTCCGGCTCATCCTTTACTTCTTTTTTGCTCTCCTTCTTAACACTCCCCTCTTTTTTCTTTTCACCTTTGATATCATAAAAAAAGGAAATTAGTTCAACAAGGATCTGGTGAATATTTGATCACGTACATTTTAAATGGTTGTACTTAAAGTGTTGCTGAAACTCCAATGAGCCCGTCTACCTTTGCTCTCCATCTCCTTCCGCATCTTCTTCTCAGCCTTCTTGCGGTCATTGGCCTCTTTCAGCATCGCAATACGCTCCCTCCACAGCTCCGCAGAGCGTTGCTGTGTTGCTTCGAAGTGGTCGACCACTGAGTAAGTCATGAGGATGCGGTGGCACAGAGCCACCAACAAGTCGACCTTCTCCTCGGGGCTCAGCTCAAACACCTCGATGGTCTCGAGCTTCTCTAGGAACTCATTACTCATCATGTCATCGAAGTCCCCCATGGCGCCAGTGTCCTCTGAACCCTGACCGCTCTCTTCGTGAGCGTCGCACGGCCTCAGGCACAACCGTGTAAGCTCTGACGCAGAATGCATGGTGAGAGGAATCTCAGATAAGGACATGTCCAGCTCGCTGTAGCCTTCAGCCAGCTCATCCTGCAGCAGCGTCTGGAGCAGCACCACCAACACACGGTTCAGGTAGAGGAAGCCAGACCGCTCTCTTGCCAGCGCTTCCATCAGAGCCACTGCAGTGATTGGATATTGATCATTTGGCATTAGCAGGCCCGCATAGCAATTAAGGAACTCAGCAACCATTGCTACACTACCAAACAGGGTGTTGGGCAACCCTTCGGGCATGTCTACAAGCTTAAACGTCGGCAGGGCCTTGCCATCTTTGATCTCCTGGTCTTCGTATCTACGGGATTGTTCGCGACGGACCAGCATCTCCTTCTCTCGTCTCTCCTTGGCCTTTTCTCTTAGTTTCTTTTTGTGTTCTGCACGCCTCCTTTTTATCTCCTGCTCCTTTTCTTCCTCACTCAAGGCCGCCCAGCGTCTTTTCTGCTCCAGCAGCTCCCAGCGCTTCTGTACGAGCTCCTGCAGCTCCTCTGGCAGACGGCCACGATCGTCTAGGGATAAGGTCTTTGCAGCTTTAGATATGAGGGAGGAAAGGGCGTTCTTTTTGTCCTCCTTGCCTTTGTTCTCCTTGTAATAACGCAGGAGATGGAGTGCCATGGGGTGCAGTGGTTTGCCAAGTTTAGGTGTACCCACAACACCACTACGAGCTCTCTTTTTAGGACTTCCAGCAGGTGTGCCTTTAGCCAGATGCAACAGTGTCATCTGCTTCATCCTTGGTGTTTTTGCACCAGTTGGGTCATCTTTCTTGGAGAACTTCAGCCCATTGAGCTTCTTATCACTACTCTTTCCACTTTTCTTTCCTTCTTTTTTGTCTCCTGGCTTCTTGGCAGATTTTGGAGTAGAGGGAGCTGAGCTTTTCCCTTCTTTCTTAGGACTTCCAGAGTTCTTCATCTTGAGTGGAGAACAGATAATTTTTATTTTCTGGGGAACAACAACAAAAAAAAAGGTACAAAAACTCATTAGGATAACTTTCGACAATACAGGGTAATAATTTACTCAAGCACATCCAGTTGGCATCAGATTCATTTAACTGTAAATGTGTGAAAAGAAAGTTTCCGTATTTTTCGCCCTGTAAGTCACGTTTTTTGTTGTTGCATAATTTACATGCCCTGTGACTTCTACGCCGAAAAGATGTTTTTATGTTTTATTCCCATATTTATAAACCAATTTTTGGCTGCGATATGACCGTTTTCATTCATTCTAACTGAAGAAATGGAACATTGCCATTTTCAGCCACTAGATGGAACCAGAGTAGTATGGCATGCCGTTGTGTCATGTAATAGGTAAAAGTGGCTATTAATGACAATCGGCTTGCCATGGCCTGCCACCTTCGTCCAGCTTGCTTGGAGCAAACAAAAAATTAGGGCTGGACAATAATTCAATTTATGTCACTCTATAATTTTATTCAATAACGGTGATATGAGTTTTAAGCACATTTGTGATATTTCAATATGATTACCGCGTTTCTCTGACGCATTTCTCTTTCTGTTCAGGTTGAAGTGGCTGCTTGTTTCAACCCAAACAGAAAAAGGTGCGACACAACTACGTAAGTGCGTGGTGACGTAAATGTTATGCAGAGCTCGAGTCCAGAAGGAGATAGCGGTAGCAGGCTAGGTTAGTTTCCAACGCGCGTTAAGTTTTCACTTCAAAATGATGCCCATGATCATCAGAATGTGACTGAACAAGCTTTCACAGGCGAAGAGAAAGCAGATGACGTAACTGATGAGAGGAAAGAATAATTCAGCGGTGTAGAAGTGGTTCGGCTTTCTAAGATCCAATATACTGCAGGTTTCAGTCAGTGTGCTGCAAAATATGGAGAGTCGTTCCAACTAACGGTGGGAACATCTAACTTGTTTCATCTGAAGAGTTTCCACTCGATAGAATATGCTGAGAGTCACAAGATGAAGCACAATAAAGTTTGAGCCAACGTGTCCCTGAAACACCCCCAGCTGCATCAAAAGAGAAACATGGGTTAGGGTTATGTTGTTGTTTAAAGTTAAAACTATTAATATTGACAAAGTTAAGAGTTTTATGTTTATTTGACGGTGATTTCAAATTTCTTTGAAAGCTAAATACAAATAAAAGGTGAACATTAATTTATTTGTACAGTTTTTCTGAGGCTTTTATATTTTTATATCGATATCGAATTATATCGTTATCGACCGAAATTAAGAAATATATCGTGATAAAAGTTTTGGCCATTTCGTCCAGCCCTACATCAAATTAGTTTCATTTCACTGCGCCGCCCCAGCAAAATGCAATTAATTTGACTATTGAAGTGCATTTATTAATTAAAAGTTCAACTGAGACGAACCTTTGCTATAAAGTCGAGCAAACAAATAATCGTTTTAGGTGATCAGTTTGTTAAATTTCTAAGAAATGTGCAGCGTTCCTCCTTCCTGACTTCCTTCCTCTGTGCGCTCCCGGAGCACCGAGGCAGCAGATATTTTTGAAATGCAGCTGATTTGACCATTAAAGTCCTTTTATTAAGTAAAAGTTCAACTGAGACACACCTTTACTATAAAGTCGAGCAAACAAATAACTGTTTGATGTGGTTATCTTGTTAAATTTGCACAGCGACTCGTCCCGTGCACGTGCTTACTTCCGCGTATCGGCTTTTGAAATGCAACTGATTTGACCGTCAAAGTGCATTTAATAAGGAAAAGTTAGATTGAGACATTTTGACTATAATTTCAAGCAAACAATTGTTTTTAAGTGTTAATCTTGTTAAAGTCTTCTTGTGCACGCCCCCGCGGCCACCATTTGGCAGCCAATAGATTTTTGGCACAACACCAGCCCACATTTCCAGGTTGTCAGTGGTATTGCGTAATAGATGCGACTTATACGGCGAAGCGACGTATTTATGGATCCTTCCACTTTATTAGACATGTTTGGACTGATGCGACTTTTAGGGCGGTGCGACGTTTACGGCGGAAAATACGGTAATGATCTGAAAACCAGCCACTAACCTGCATGTGACTCCAAAGCGTGGGACTAAGAGGCACACTTAGAGACTCTTTCTTTTTTCCCTTCTCGTTTGCAGAATCCTCTCCAGGAGTGTCACCCGTCTTAATCTTCTTTCTAGGTTTACCGTCAGATGTCATGCTCTTACGCTTTTTGGAGGGATTTTCTGCCAAAAACTTCAGACATAAAAAAATAAAGTGAGCAAAGACCAAAAAACAAATCCAACAGATATGAAAATATAAACATGAAGACTTAATTAACCTTGTGAGGATCAAGTAGGAAGTCACTGAACTTGCTGGGCAGATTATATTTTTTAACAAGCTCATCCTCAACTACCCAGGGAGCACTCTCTCCTTTGCCCAGCCTCAGGGCGTAGTGCCTGATGAAGTAGCGCATGATCTCTTTGGTTGGAGGGCGCTCGGTTCTGTAAAGACTGTCTGATGGAACGTTGCTGATCACCTGCAATAAAATTCATTTTCAGAAGCAGACACGTATAAACATTAAATGTTTGAGTAAATCTGAGATATCACATACGGCACAAAAAGCAACAGTGTGGCACAAACGGCGTGTGTGTTTGTTGATAGCTGGTAACGAACAAACCTTATCCTCGTCGATGAGCTTCACGTCGTACTTAAGAGGAAGGAATTTGGGCATTACCCATTTCTTCTTCTCTTCCTTTGTGGCAGTGGTGACTTTCCTGGGAGAACGTCGTGCCCTGTCACCTACAGCAACACAGCAAACAGAACGAAACATTAAAGAGTCGGACGTGTACAACGCAAGGTCAAGAAAAAGCCTGTTAGCCCGCCTTGTTTACTTAAACAGTCTGATCCATGAAGCAAGACGGCTGCTGTAAAAAGATCCATTCTGCACCGACGGGTACTCACTGAGACTCTCCCTTCTGTTCTCCTCCTCGCGAGGTGGGGGCTCCTTCCTCTGGTTCTCCTGGCTGGTGTTCTCCTTGTCGCTGGAGGGGGAGTCACAAGCACCTTCAAGCTTCTTCTCACCCGATTCACCCTCGGGGTTTTCTAAAGGATGAATCTTCACCACCTTCACCCGTAAACTTTGGTCCTTTCCCACCTTAAGGAAACAATAATCAATTATATTAAAAAAAAAGAGACTTTAATGTTGAAAGACACCAAACAAACATCTTTCAATCAAATTATTTTCACTACAGAAGAATGCAATCAGTTATGTCTTGAAGATTTTTAATCCACAAAAGTTAAAAAAAATAAATATATTTTTAAAGGAACGCCAGGCTTTCTTTTAGGCCTACTAACAAAATGTGATGAATAACAAATTGTTGTACATGCTGTGTTAACCCAGGTGAACTTAATGACTTCAGTAGAAACTGCACAATCAGTAAACGTAAAAGGCTTACTGACAGTACAACTTTAATGCAAGAAAACAATCGTTTTCATTAAATCTTTTAATAAAATTAAGAAATCGAGATACATTCTTTGTAAATAGCTTTAAGGAAATATGAACATTGGTAAGAGATATCACAAGGAGTGAAACATACAGTAGGAATAATTACAGTTGGGTTACATAAAAGATTTTTTTTTAAGTTTCAGAAGTCACACTTACCAGGAAGTCGCACTCTTCACCCACAGCATACTTGGTGAGGACTTCCATCCAGGCCATTTCAACCAGTTTGTCTAAAGATACGGTGTTGTGGTGAACCATCTCAAGGACTGGCTTCTCAAACCACAGAGGATACTCCTCCTGAAGCCTGCATACAAAACATAATCACCGTTGTGCTCTCAAGAAAAGCAGTTGATGGTATTGTTGTCAAGAAAAGTTTTAAATTGCAGCACAAACACTTTTAAGCGCAGCAGCACGGAGCTAGTGCTGTGAAACTAGAACGAGACGATCCTGACATTGACCAGTTGGAGGAGCTAAAAACCTTGGCTGATATATTTAGAGTCAGAGCTTAAGTACAGCTTATGCTCCCGAGTGACGAGCTTTGGGCAGCTGAGCAGTGCTCCGTCATGATCGGGAAAACTGCCATCAAGATGCTGCAGATTCAGGAAGGACTCCATCATATTTCTCTAAAAGGACAATCAAAACCGTGTACCCAGTCGCAAGAACGCAGTAAATCACGTGCCCTTCACTGGCAGGCTTGTTCCCCCCTCCACACTATTAAACTTCTGTTAGGGAAGCCAGTCTGCACAGTCTAACGAAACGACAAGCAGCCGTTTATAAACTTGTTAATAAGAATTTTACTGGACACGTGAAGTCAATTTATTTGTAAAACACTTTTAAAAACAGCAAGTTGTAACCAAAGTGTTGAACCTTCAATAGAATAGAGAGATAACAATAAAACAAATAAAAAAAACATGAAGTAAACCAAAAGACAAGTCATCATCTACAGCACCTCAAACCAGTAAAGTACTGCAATCAACAGAAACTAGACTGACGTGCACTTACAGCTCTGTGACTTCTTGTTCCTCGTCCCAGGCTTCCTTGTGAGTAAGCTGGAGACTTCCGGTGCTCTTGCATATCCAGACGCGTTCATTATACATCTGCAAACGTGCCTCATACTCTCTGCACACATTTTGTCAAGGAATATACAACACTCAAGACATAACAGCCCCCATGTTTAGCAACTTTGTTTTTTTAATTCAAGAGTAAGATGTCAATGCAATCATGCAGAAATTCTCACACAGGGGGAAATAAAGTGTGAAAAAAGAAAAACAGATTTAATTTTTAATGGTTTTGCGTTGAACTGCCATCAAGGCAGCACGGTGGTGCAGTTGGTAGAGCTGCCGCCTCGCAGCAAAGCAGGTCGTCCAAGTTCAAATCCCAGCCAGGGGCCTTTCTGGGTGGAGTTTGCATGTTCTTTCTGTGCATATGTGGATTTTCTCTGGGTACTCCGGTTTCCTCCAGCAGACCAAAAACATGCATGTTAGTCTGATTGGCAACTCTAAACCATCTCGTTTGTCTCTATGTGTCCCTGTGATGGACTTGAGACCTGTCCAGGGTGTACCCCGCCTCTCCACAGTGATGGCTGGACATGGGCACCAGTGACTCCCTGTGCCCCATAAAGGAACAAGCGGGTAAAGTAAAGATAATGGCTGGCTAATGGCTATCAATGAATAAAATCAAATTCCATGTGGACATAAACTAGACATGAAGGTAAAAAGATGGGAGAATTACTGCAGTGACTGAGTGCCCAGGACTCTGTCTGTACAGAACACCAGCCATTTATTAGAAAAGTAGGCTCTTTAAATGGTTTAGTCTTTATAAAAAGCTATGAAAGATGTTTTTAGATTATGAAATACAACAACAAGATCCACATTTTAGTCCAGAGCAGATAGTGTACTAGTTAGGAAACAAGAGCTTCCAGTTCAGCCAGTGTTTTCTAAAGTGAAACTAAATAAAAATAACAATGCATGTATAACATTAAAGACACACGTCAACAGTTCAGTGAATATCTCAGGCATGTCACTGCAGAAACACATTTAGCCATAACATCAAACTCGTGCTATAACCTTTCTCACAGTTACGTATTTCTGCTGCTCGTTTTCACATAAACATCCTATAAACACATGGTAAACACAGGCCGCGTTACGCTTCAGCACTGCTAAGATGCGACGAAGTGCTAACAGACGAGCTAACTCCAGTCAGCGAAGCAACTGCTTTGGTCTGTCGGAGGCAGAGCCATTGTGACATAACGTTAGCATGGCTGCTAGTTAGCCACGTTAGCAATGGTGGAGCCGTAAAATGTGAAAGTGAAAAGCACTCACCCCCTAGTTTTAGAGCCACATTTATAGTGATGTGCAATTTAAACGGTTACATTTTGTAGCTAACTTCCGTTTAAACTGATTCACGAGCTAACTAACAGCTACAACGTAGCTGGCTAGCTGCGTTAGCTTGTCCGCTAATTCATGCGGTTAAACCTAGGCAGAAAAGCAGTGAATCAGCCATCTTTACTGTCCTCTATCATCAGTGGTGACGTTCAGTTCGAGCTGAACAGCCAAGTTAAAAACAGACTCAACGTTCAGGCTGCTCGGGCTCGTTTCCCCTCTGCTCGCTGAAGGATACTCTTTGTTCGTGAAGGCCTCCTTGGTGTGCTCGATGATGTAGACCTCCTCTCCCGGGCCTGGTGGCTCGGCTAACGGCTTAGCCAGTGGATACGGTTTCCGGCCCAAAAGCGGTGCCATGGCAAAAACGTAAAGGCGGCAGGAGTGCCTCAGGTGGAATTAGACTTTCTATCGAACAACTAGAGCGATTTTTAGACAGTGGTGTCGTCTTAGCATGTATTCATGCGCCCGTAATCTCTATCGAGCGATAGCAGGTTCCACGTTACCGCCGGCAGGCCCGGTGTTCAGCTAGCGATGCAAAACAATAACAGCTCCTCACAGTCGGCCTCATCACACCGCTCTCCGTTCCTCCAGCAGCGGTGTCATGTCGCTTTCACGTAGCGTCTCGAGACGTAAGCGAAGTGGTCCACCGAAACAGCTGGTTAAACTTTCAGCTCCTTCAGGTGCAAAAATGGGAGCGCACCCAAACCGAAATCAAACTCGCGGCAACGTTCAGCGGCAGGTCTGTGTCGCGATCACGTAGTACCGTAAATAGCTACAAACTAGACTTGATCTCGTTCAAACTATTGCCACGGATGCAGTCGAAGTTCCGTGTTACAAGAAAGTAACCTAGATCATACAAGAGGTTAATTCCCTATCGAAATGGCGGGAGATTTTAGTCCACCGGCAAAAGACTGCACAACCCTTAATGCTGTTACCCCGGCAGCAAGAGGCGCCTTAATTAAGCCCCGCCTCCTCTCAACGTTCATTGGTCGACTAAGAGCAACGCCCTAATCTAATCGGTCCGGTCGTGTCCCATTGGCTGATGCGGCCTGTCCGTCATCCCTCTTTGGTAAGACTTCACAAAACACGCTTGCGTCAAACAAGTTATGAGCTTTTAGGTGATGATAAACTAATATGGAAATTTAAACTCAAAACCACAATGATCTCTTTTTATTATGTAATTATGAATGTTTTAAAGTGTGCAATGGAGAAATAATTCACCAGTAATTATCAAATTCATTTCCAATCACTTTGTCTGGGGTTCCATTTTGAACCTGCCTGTTAAACACAATAGGTTAAATATCCTGATGCATGCTCAATAATCCAGGTAGAAAAATCTAAAAAAAAGTTAAATCTGGGCCTAATACAGCACCTCAGACTGAGGAAGTCTTTCGGGTGAAAGACGAAATGTTTCTACATTCTTTTGTTCTTTTGCTTTGTTTGGTTTTTAAATGTCCAGAGGACCAGATTTAACTTTTTTAGACAATAGGCTAAACTGCATTCCCTTCATAAATACAAATTACAAAAAAAAAAAAACATTTATTATTTACAAACTTTAAATAATAAAGAAAAGCCTTTTTTTTTTTTTTTTTTTACAAATAAATTTTAATATCAAGTAATACAAGCCAAATAATTTGTTCCAGCAAGCCAGTAATACATAATGGTACATTTACAAATCAACCTACAAAAAGCTATGCATTATACACCCTTTGTAAAATTGGCAGAAAAGCTAAACAACAACAACAACAACAAAAAAAACAGAAACATGCAAATTCTATCTGCATAAAGCAGAAATTTAAAAAATGGCAGAAATCTAAACATTGTGTGTAGAAATGCACAATATGGCTTGGTACATACAAGATTTGAAATAAATCTCTATTCTGTTAAAAATATCACTTGATCAGCAAGACTTCAAAGACTGAAAGTAAAACAAACAACAACAAAAAATCAGTTAGGACATTTTATCCATTAGTTGAAATGTTTTAAGTAATGTTTGTGTAAATATAAAATGTTAACTAATCTTACAATAATCCAGAACTGGTAACTTGTGCATTTTGACAGAACAGTTATAAATAAACTATCTCAGAGTGGCATTTTCCCCTGAACAAATCCTCTTTAAAGGAGGCGCTCCCGATTCTTCTAGCTCTTCCTGTTGAAGAAAGGAGAACCACATCCACTTATTCAGTGCTTATTCACTTTAATTTAAAACAAGTAAACAGATATTAGTCATGTAAAATGTTCATTCAGGGACTTGTTTTTAAATTATTTAGTTAAAGAAACCTTTGTGCCTGAGGCGCTGCGTCTGACAGCTCCTGATGTAAGAGGATCCTCCTTGATGAGCGTAGGCGGCTCATCAGCTCCATCCCGTCCTGCATGAACTGGTTCTGCACGAAGAGTAAAATGTGGAATTATATTATTATTTAATGTAAATCTGGCAAAAAATATCTATACTAATCATAAAAATATTTTTATTATTATTATTTTCGTGTGCTCAGAAAAATGAGACCATTCAATTTTTTTTAAAAACTTTTTCTGGCTGCCTTTGAACCCAAAAGGAGAAATTTCTGTTTTTTAAAAAAAATCAGATAATTTTAAATCTTTGCTTCTTGTGAATCTGCGTGGACTGGAGAAACGGATTTCTTTCACAAACAATGAGTCTGCAGCTTGTTTTGCAAACGGTCACCGTCAGATGGTGTTCAGTAGAAACACAAACAAATATCAATCTGGCTTTAAAGCTTACTTTCTGTTTGTTTTGATTTATTCAGATCCTGTCACCATAAAACTTTGTGTGATGAAACATTTAATGATGAAGAGTACTAAAATGAATGATACTAAAGAAAATAATGATGCACGGCCTTTCTCTGTATTTAAATAGCGTCGTTGTGTTTGTTGTCGCCACCTAGTGGTATGGCAAGAAAACTGCAATGTTCTGATTAATAGATTGTCTATGTCCATGGTCGCAGTCCCCTAAGGGGCCACCAGGGGGCGCTAGGAGGGCCACAGAAAGCTGGAG